TAAGTGATTTTTAAACTATAGTTTTAAATTAAAAATGACTTTTAAAATTCTCTCTTTTATTAAGAGCTTAATAATGTAATTATTTACTTATAAAAAGAGTCTATTTTATTACTTTTAAATATAGCGCTGCTATTCTTTATTTATAAATCCTATATTACTCTTTCTATTATAATCTTCTTTTTTATTAAAAAAGGGTTAAAAAAATGTATAGAATTAAAGCTAGCGTAAATCTATAAGAGACTAGATTTAGTAAATATAATTTAATTTAATTTTATCTTACTAATTAATATTATAGCTAGCAAATTAATATAGAATAAATTACTTTATATATAGGAACTCCTTAATTATTAAACTATAGTTGCTAACATATTAGCTTACTATATTTTAGATTTTAGTGATTATTTAATTAAACTATATGCAGTTATTAATAGTAATAATTAATAGTTTCTATAATTTAAAGGCTTTAATCGCTCCTTTTTAGTTTATTTTCTAAAAGTTGTATTTAGCTTCTAATAGCGTAGCTATCTTAGCTTACTTAAGCTGCAGTAATATAGCCTTATAGTTAGAGCTATATTATTCTTATTAGATATTGTATTTTATAATTTAGTTTTTAAATAAATTAGAGACTAGTATAAGATTAATAGTAGTTTCGAACTGACTCTAAAGGAAAGTAATTATACTGCTTAAAAAAGTAGAGAAAATGTCGTGCTAGTGTATTTATTAAAGCACTGGCTCGCTTTCTCCTACGTGTTAAGATTGTAGTATGTTGATTCCGCCCTATACAGAATTATAGCAATTGAAGTCGCTACCTACTACAATAGGGAGGTTTTCTCCATACTTTGTCTTGGCCTTGTGGAGGGTGTCGCTTAGAATGGCTAGCCTAGTGATAGCAGTCTCCTCTAAATCCTGCTTAAAAAAGGCGTGCTGACTACGACCTAGGACATAGATTGACACAATGAAAATGTATCCTATCAAGGTGGTGATGACCCCTGCAGTTATATCTGACAACAGCGCAGGGAACTGGACAAATGAAACGTCTTTGTGGATGTAAAGTAGTGACCTGAACGCGTGGTGCGCCAGAGCTTCTTATTGAATAGATGGAGTTACAGTGGTCCAGCACCGACTTTATATGACTGTATTGATTGATTGATTGATTATTTTATACGCTATGCGCTTGCCACTGGAAGTATGAGCAACTGCTATCTACTGCTAGCTAATTACAAATCTCTATATAGGGTCTGCGTCTCATTCTACAGCTTGGGTACCTATGCACCTGTTTTATTTAGGTATTCTATAGCAAATGCTGTATCTAATATATATATATATATATATATTTTTCTTAGCCTCATTTTCTAACTCCCTTTTACTATCCCCTGCCTCACTCTCCTAGTTGTCTCGCTCAGCTTCATTTTCTAATTTCCTATATTCCTTTACAAAGTCCAGTCTTTTAATATCTATTATGTACTTAATAGTTATATAGATTATGTTTATATCTACTCTTTATTAATTGGCCAGTTTGTTTTTATAAAGTTGCTCTATTGCTATATAGGGATTATGTCCTCTTATTATTTAAGAGATATTGCTAAACTTAGGGCCTAATGCCTTTACTAGTTTACATCTTTAAATTACATATCTGGAATATAGTAATATAAAATGTTAAACTATTTTCTCTCTTTATTTATATTTGTATTAGCTTAAGTCTATAATATTGATAACTGCTAGGAACTTATTTAGACAGGTATGTCCTATATAAAGCTATAATAGGATAAAGGCCTCTTTCTTATTTAGCTTATTATAAAATAATATAATATATTTACTAGGAATAGCGCTATCTATTACATAAAGGCTTTTACCTATATTTTATAGTTTCTATTGTTCTTTAGCTAAGATCTTGTCCTAAAGGGTTTTCCAAACTTGTTTTATATTGTCTAGGATTATCTTGCTTACAACTAGCCTTATAATATGAAGGTTTGTAGCCTGTTTAGCTAATTAATCTAATTCAATATGTTTTATAGCTACGAACTTCTTTAAAATTTATTAAATAGCTAATTATCCTTTAAGGATTATATAATAGTTAACTATATATAAAATGCTTTATATTATAGCTGCTCTATTCTAATAAGCTTAGTAATTAATTATGCAAACAGCTATTTAACTATTAAATTATATTAATATTTAGAGAATTAGCCTTTTATAACTGTGCAGTGTTTCTAATAGGATTCTAGCTAGAGTTACTGCTTCTTTGATTGCAATTAGTTCCATTATTATACTGTTAATATTACTTTCCAATTTGACTTATTAAAAAAGGGTAAATAATAATATAGGCTTTTTAAAATATACTGCTATTCTAACTCCTGCTTAGCTATTAATAACAGAGCTATTAATAAATATATTTAAATACTATTTATTTATTTTAAAATAGTTTTTATATACTTTATTAGAGCTATATTAATCAGATTTGCAGTTAACTATTATTATGCCTTATAGTAGAGTAATTTATACTAGGATAACTTCTATATTTGTCTTTATCTTTCCTAATTATATTTCTATATTATAAAAGGAGGAGGTGAACAACTTTGCTCTAAGCTTCTTAACTAGTTTTCTAAGCTGTACCTTTAATAGGTTAGTTTCTAGTAATGTGTAGAGTTCTACCTAGAATTTGCTAATCTTTAATTTTAACTAAATATACAGAAAAGGGAGCAAAGCTTTAGCATTAGACGCTTTAATTAAGATTATATAGAAACACTTAATAACTGCTTAGGCTCCTATTCTCTTTATAGAATTAAGGATCTTAGCTGTGCTGTTATTAATCTTTCCTTTAAGGAACTTAGAATACTATATTATAGCTATATAGTCTATTTTTAAAGCTATTATAGCTTAATATAGTTATTACGCTAATTATAGTTTAATATAGAAGAGGCGTTTAAGTTAACTAGCGCTTCTCTATCCTCTTATTTTGATTTTAGCTAAATGGTTCTTAAACCTCAGCTTAGTATTAAAGATAACCTCTAGGATTCTCTCTTTTATAGAGGGTTTAATAACGTAGTTACTTATTTTAAATAGGATGTCAGTATTGCTAATCTTTCTGTAATTTTATATAAAATATATAAGGATTGTCTTATTGCTTTTAAATATAGCGCTATTATCTTTTGCTTATTAAAGAGCCTTTAGAATAACTTTGTTATTAAATATTAATATATTCTGTTCTATTAATTCTGAAATAGCTTATTAAGTATAGTTATTTATAAACCCTATATTGCCTTATCTTCTATTAATCTTCTCCTTTATTAGAAAAGCGTTAAAGAAGATATATAGGATTAGAGCAAATTTTGATCCTTATAGGAGACCAGATTCTGTAAAGGTGACTTGACTTGATTCTGTACTATTAATTAGTATTATAGCTAATTAATTAATATAGAAAGAGTTAATTTATATAACTATATAAGTTAGAATCCCCTCTATATATAGCTAACTAGTAAGCATTTATTAAGGAATGCTGTTATATGCTCCCTTTATATTAAAGCTAATAAGGGAAAGGACTTTCTTTTATTGTTATGCCTTAAAGATTTTCTTAATTAAAAGGAGCAACGCTTAATTACATAATTGTCTTAGCTTAATGCTGAATTGTATCTCTAAGAGGAGGTTAAAAGTCTTAGCCTAATATAATCTTCTTTTTTTAGATTTTATAAATACTAAGTATTAGAACTAATATTTTATATATATTATTAACCTTAATTAGGAAGAGTTTCTCTTTATAAGTATAAGCTATTTTAAAAACTTAATAAACCTATTTATTATTTAATTACAGTTATGCTACGTTTTTTTCATTTTAAATAATAACCCTTATAGCTTTTAACTTTATTTAGATTTTTATAATATTAATATTATATATTAAAAATTAGGCTATAATAGCTTTTCAGATCTTTCTCTCTATAGCTTTATAGTCCTTTATTAGCTTATGTTGCTTAGCTATTATCTAACTAAAGTCAATTATAACGCTTAGGAGTTGTTATAGCTTTTTAAATAAGGTAGGTAGGGTTAATGCTATTGTGTTGCTATATTATAGCTAGGTAGCTAATAATAATAGGTTAATCAATCCTAACGCTGCTAAGGCGTAGAAGGTTAGTAGGGAGGCTGCTATGTTAGAGTCAGCTAGAGACGCTAGGCTTGATTGTTTAAAGCTAGAAAGGACAGTCCTCCTATTATTAACATTAGACCTAATAATCCTAACTTCTAAATTAAGGACTTTAATATTAGCTTTTAGTTTAGCACTTGTTATTTTAAACTTCTTCTTAAGTTCCTCAGTCCCTTTGAGCAAGCGTTCGAGTCTCATTTTAGTAATGTTGAGCTTCATTTCAATAATGTCAAGTTTTTTTATAATAATGTTAAGTGTCGCTAGCAGAGCGACGTTCTCCTAATGGAGACCCTCAGTCTGATTCTGGAATTGCTTATTCTAGTGTTGGAGTTGCTTGTTCTAGTGTTGGAGTTGCTCGTTCTGGTGTTAGAGTTGTTCGAGCACCTTGTTGAGTTTGCCGTTCTGAGTGTTCACTGCTCCTTCAATAAGGCGTTTCATTATGTCTTCAGCGAAGACAGCGTTATTACTTGGGCTGAGAGAACGAATGGGTTGAATCAACCCTCCGCTGCTCTGCCTAGTGGCTCTAGTCTTTCGTTAGGCGGCCATAACGGCCCTTACTCTCTGTGGAGATAGGGTGGGAGCGACAATGGCGACAGCGTCGCTAGGATAGTCGGGCGGCACCCTTTCCCTCGACTAAAATCGACGGGAGTTGGATAGTCCGACTCGTCGAGTCGACTTATAGATGAAACTGTCAAAAAAATGATGAATATCGATAAAAAATATCGATGTCGTTTTTCCCTTAATAATAATTCTATATGACTGTATATGCATAATGCGCTGCGATATCGGAGCATGTGGGGCATACCATGCCTTCCCCCCCACCCATTGTTTGTTATGAGCACTGGACATCGCCAACGCCATCTCGGCTCTTGTAGCTCAGTGGTAGAGCGTTGCACTTGTAATGCAAAGGTCCGTCGTTCGATCCGGCGTAGGAGCTTCTTTTTGTCGTCTTTGCACAGATGTCTCCAAGTCTCTAGATCTTGTCTTTGTGATTGTGTCCTTTTTTGGCCACGTTTTGCTGTATCTAGTTTTGTCAAAGGATTATTATCAACATACACGGTCATGTTTGTTGAGTTTGAGTAAGTAAATCGGCAGGGACTACTTACTCGTTGTTCTTCCGGGGTACGGTAAGCAGGTGGTTCGTCAGGTGGCTTGTTTATCCACGAGGCACAGTGGTTGATATACTCCAGTGGAGTATTTTGAACAAGTATCTGCTAAGCACTCGATCCAGAAGCAATGCACTGCTATACAACCGCTGGGATCGTTCCTAGGGGTGATTTTCGTCATCTCGTATTGGGATGATACAGAAGGCCAGGGTCGCCCTCCCGCACTGTCCCGTGATAACGTTTCCTGATACGAGTTGATTATCGAGGAAATAGATTCATAAAGGCTCTCACCCACTCATCATTATATAGACTATTAGTATCATGACTTTTCATGCCTACCGTCATCTCCATTCGTATAAGGTCCTCCGCTCTCTTTGACCAACCCTTTGCTGCCATTGTACTCGGTATCCTTCTGACTCCAAGCAGGTGCTTCATCCTTGCCGTTGTCCTCTTCCTCATCGCCCTCCTCCTTGGTCTTGTGCTGGGTCTGACTGTCATGCTCGGCTGGACTATAAACAGTAACCAGTTCGAGAGGCTTGTCCTTGCTGGTATTGTAGAACTGATGCTGAGTTCCAGCGGGAACGACGACGACGTCCGAGGCCTTGATGGCTTGCTCCTTACCAGCGACGATGGCTTTGCCCTCGCCCGAAGTGAAGATAAGGACTTGGTCTTTTAAATGCACCTCACTACACAACACGAAGTTAGTCTTGCTTTTCCAGATGCTCAAGAGCTGACGTAGACGTACTCGCCGATATCACCTCCGACTGGAATTTCCATGGTGACTAGCTGGCTATAGAGCCCAGTGTGAATGACTTTACGAAAGAGGCCAAATGATCGGACTTCAGAAGTCAAGCCAGGGAAGTAGGCCATTTCGTGCTTGGGCGGGTCCCTCGACATGTTTGAGTCTTTACCCATGGCTGTTTGTGTAGAGGTGAAGCTGCGAATAGATTCACGAAGGAACGGTGCTGTGTATGTACGAGAAGCAGTAGAACTGATAGAGGAACGAAAAATGGCACGAGAGGATAGCATTTGTAAGAGTTTATGTGAAAATGGTCGGGACACGGAGACCTATGGGTTTATATTGATGTCTCCTGATGTTCGAGAGTCTATTTTCTTACCTGCCGTGCTTGCATGACACGCTGACACTTAGATCATAAGGTAATCTCAAATGGTGATGATGACGTTTGTGTTTTGGCTTTGGTTAAGGTACCTCAGGCCTTGATGCAATGGAACGGGAGCTGCCGAGCATCAGAGACAAAGTTCATGCAGGGACCAACTCCGAATCGATGCTTCACGGTAGCTCGATGGCCGATGTAATAAGATTATTTTATTATAGAGGAAACTTGATTTTGCGCATAAGCAAAATTGGCACTTGGTACAGGTAGCGAAGACTTTGACGTCCCGAGATGGCAGGCGCTGGGATTAGCTGGCTGGCTGAAAGTAGCACTCTGTGACTTCGGATTGTGGGTATCATTCTTTGAGGAGATATCTCGGGCCGCGTTCTACTGCGCCCCGAGCATAGCGGCGACGTCCGAATCAATTCCGACTCCATCGTTGCCGCTGAATGGCCCCTCCTCCATGTCGCTTGGCTTGTGACTGATCTTTCTCCGCTTAAGTCTTGGATCCATAGTCGCACCATCACTGGGAACAGCATGTGATGGCTGCTGAGGAGGCTGTGGTAGAGCGAGACTCTTAAGTAAGGAGTCGGCTCCGTTGAAGGTGGTCACCTGCATGACGGGTGGTGGTACAAAGGCAGGTGGAGGTTCGTTGTAAGTTGACGGCCTTTCCTGTACCGGATCCGGCATATACGTGTCGGTTTCCAGGAAGTCCTGCCCATAAGCGCCATCGTCGGCGGGAAAGGCAGGTTCGGGTTCGGCCAATGCCCTAGGAGAGCCAGTTGGGGTAAAGGTCTCTATGTCCGGAGGCGGAGGTGTGAATGCTTCCATCTCGGGGCTCCTGCCATCCGCACTGTCGGTACCAGAGCCATTCAGATGACCGGGCAGTGGTGCATTGAAACTCTCTGCAGACAGACCCCGCATAATACCATCTTCAACCTCTTTCTTTTTGGTTTCAGTGGCAGTACGTCTGATGGACAGGTCTGCAGCGCTGGACTCGTCTTCAGTGAGCCTTGTCCTGTTGCTTTCCAGAAGCTTCTCCAGTCCAGCAATCAATTCTCTTCTAGCCTTCATGCTGTCGTTCACAGCACCTTCAGCACTAGCCAGATTCTTCAGAAGCGAGGACAGGCGAGCAGCATGTACAGGAGGGGTCGGTACTGGATTTGTTGGGTCTATCATCTTGGCGTACTCGGTATTGGCCGTGTTGAGTAGAGGACGGGCGACGCTCTCTGCACGAGACAGGTTGCTCTGTGGTTGAAGCAGTGGCTGAAGCTCAGCGGGGACAGACGAGGAAGAGGAAGCGGAAGCGAACAGAGAACCACCCATCCCCCCAAGGCGGGCACCAGCAGCTGGACGGGCGGAACGTGACTTGTCGATGTCTGGGTTGAGAGTCAGTATGGCTGGTAGCAATTCGAATCGAGTGTCGGTGATGAATACCATCGATGCGCTTCTCGACCGCATCCTGAATGGCGGTCTCGAAAATAGCGCGCTGCCTCCAGACCTCTACCACACGCCTGATCTTGAGCTGGACTTCCTGAGTTGAGCCCTTGTAGGCAGTTGCGGTAGCATCGGCAATAATCTGGAATGTGTCAGGTCATGGAAGAGTGATGAAATTGCGAGTAAGGTGATTAGCTAGCTTACCGGACTGAAAGCAAGGAGAAAGTCTTCTTTCTTTCGCGCCTTAGACTGTTGTACGACCTCTGGAACAGGATCAGTATTTCGATAGGTATATAAAGGCAGCGTTGTCAGGGTGGAGCGAGGTGAGGTACCATTGGCGAGATATATCAAGTTCAATTTCTTACTCGTATTTGACTCTTTCAACCTCTCCATCCACAGCTCTGCGGTACGGTCTGCATGTCTCCTACAAAGATGTTGGGTTAGTCCATTGTGCAACAAGCTTGGCGCACGCGGAGGTTCATGCGGAAGACGAGGATTAAACAAAGTAAGGTAGATACCTATGGAACATGACCCATTGTGCTACACTGACAATACTATCCTGAGTCTCATTCAGAGCAGACAGTTTTGCCCTCACAGCATCATCAGCATACGCCATTCTCGATGATTGTTTGCGAATGAAGATGCGGCATGCGACTTGGCTGTGTGTGCTGCGAGTCTTTGCGGTCGGGTGTTTGCCCTGAGTGACGACGGGAGCGCGGACCAATTGTGTGATGGAACACTTGTGCAGCACTGCAGCTAAGGTACCTTACCTTACCCTTAGCTCTCTTGGCAGCATCTCAATCCAACCCCGGAAATGCACCAAAGAGGACAAACATCACCTTTACCTTAACCAACTCAATTTCTTGATTGCTCCTCTTTTGCGCTAATCAATCTGTGCCTTCGTCCACATAGCATCCTGGTCTAGAGATCACAACCACTCCTCAATCAACATCACAACACCTTCACCTCCACAATACCGTCAACATGGCCGACAGGTTCCCATCTCTAGACGAGATCGATGCTGGTAGTCGCTCATCACACACAGCGCATTGCCGTAGCTGACTTCAACCAGGCCAGACCGAAGTAAAGGGTGAGGCCAATTTTGATGGTCTTGAGTCGGCCGATACCTCCGACTTCCTGTCTCGTGAGCGCGCCATGCTTGGAGACGATGCCGACCAATTCAGCACTCCCGCAGACCACTCCGCAACCCTTCAAGATGGCGGCGATGACGATCTACTCGGTGGTGATTTCCAAGACGCTCAGCCTGCACTGTCCAGCAACAACGACATGGGCGACTTCGAGAGCAGTTTCCCAGCCATTGACACATCTAATGAGGTACCGACACATTCAACCTATACCCAACTCCCTATCAAGACGTGCCATACTGACAGGATACCATTCTACAGGCAGTAGCACCCGGCGGCACAATCACCGGTTCCGCATTACCTCTTAACCCCGCATACCAGGCATCTTTCGAGGAAGAACAGGAGCCAGACGTCATTCGCGAATGGCGCGAGCGCAGAGACATGGCCATCGCCCACCGCGACGAGGTATCTGGCAACCGCAAGGCCGAGACAGTCAAGGCCGCTCAACAAGCCATCGACGACTTCTACGAGAACTACAACAACAAAAAGGACAAGACCATTTCACACACGAGAAAGGAGGCCGAGGAATTCATCAAGAACAGGGAGGACACGACTGCCGGTGGCACCAGCTGGGAGAGGATAGCCAAGCTCGTCGATCTTAGCGGCAAGGGCCAGGGTGGTGGCGCCCAGGGTACCGGAAAGGCAAAGTTCAGGGAGATGCTCATCAGTCTGCGCAAGGACGACAAGGCCCCCGGTGCTAGCGGAGTTTGAGAAGCACGAGGGTCATTGCCATTGGGACCATCAAAACCAGATATCCAAGCCCAGGAGAGCCCATCATATCCATCGCTTTCGTGAATCAACTGTAGGATATTCCGGGTCATGGATGTATACTTTCAATGATACACAATTCGAATGATTCTTCTTTGAAGATCTGAGATGCTTTTTATTTTACATATCCATTGCACTGCCGAAAGTGCAGGCTTTAGTGAGCTGAGTCTCCACCTCTTCCTGATACAAGCGACGCTTGGCCTCCACCCATCCCATCCCCTTTCAATACCCAAACGCCCTTCCGTCACATCAAGGCTTGCCCTACATGCCGCATGATCGGAAAGATGCTCCGCCTCATGCACATGCTCCATGCCGAGATGTGATCCCAAAACCCCTTGTACAGTGAAACGATATCATCGGTCACTG